GGATGAAATGTCACGAAGTGGTTGTGTTTCGTGACGTACCGAGATTTCTTCTTCAGAGTCTTTGGATGCAGGCAATAGCCAAGAGAAAGCGAAGTGAACGTGTTCGTCTATTGTTTGCGTTCTGAGGAGAATAAAGGAAGATATCGGTACGAAAATGGCGTAATTATTTACCCACATGTCATGTGTAATTAGTTTTTATTGGAATGTTACATAAACGTATCGGACTTGCATGCTAATTTTATAGGATCTGCGCAGTTTTGCTGTTAGACTGGTTCGCGCTTTTAAGATTTATTTTGTTTAAAAACATGTTGTATAGCGCAAAGCACGTAGCTACACGGATAATAATGACGTATGCAATGTATTAAAAAGGGGAATTTTTTTGAAAATGATTTGCCTTCTTACTCCCTCGCACACTCGTAGAACAAAGTTCAAAAGCCCTCCGAATGTAATTTTGTGGTATTTTTCTCGTTCACCAAAAATTCCCGCGTTTCGTTAGGCCCATTGATAGGGAGTTTGTGCAGCCCTGCTTTCGTGGTCCGGACCGTAACTCCAGCATTTGAATTGCTGTTTGTTTCCTGTAACGTCAGTTTACAAATATTTGCTGTGTTCCGCGTTGTATGATTTCGGCACAGAGTTGCATGCAACGCGCGTGGGAGAATTGAGTTTTAATCATAAAAAAAGTCGAATAAAAGTGCTATCGGGGTTGACCTATACGTAGATTTCAGGATTATATTTTAAAAAAAAAAGGTTTGACTAAATTTGATTTGCATCAGATTGTGCTCATGTAACAAACCGTGATGTATGTTTCGTAAAAGACGGAGAATTTTCTGAATACCTGAGCTTCTCAAGGACTGAGTGATTTTATTATATAAAGGTTCAGGTTAGTATTCACATTTAATGTCAAATTAAGTAGCCCCGCCCACGCTGTGAATCTATTTAAAATGCCATTCATGTTATTGTTGCACAGGATACACGTACATTTTTATTGTTCAAGTCACGTGTGTGAGCGCAACCTGGCAACGTTGCTTTTGGCTTCGTTAGCTGATCAGGAGAGCGACGTTGAAGGTGCAGCAGTACAACAGCCTGGGGGTCTCTCTCTCTGTCTCTCTCTCACACTGCGTCTCTTTGAGTTGAATAACGATCCACCTCGTTCATCGTGCGAGCGAACAAACCTTTCCCCTCGGCGGACGGTCGTAAGCATGGGCTGGCTGGCGGGCGAGTTCTGTAAGCTGCCAGCCAGTGATCAAGGTGACTCAACGGTCGACAGAGCTGCTCTGTTTTCTGTTTCGAGCAGAATCTCTCGAGTGCTGGTGCAGTGTGAAGGGACATTACGACAATGTGCAACAGTCCCTGTACTTTAATCAAGGCTGAACATGTGCTCTGTGTCTCTTTGCGTGTGGTCACTGCGTAATGACCTTGTTTCGAGGAGGTTTCTGGATGACGACAGATTTTGTTGGCGTTGGTGGATGATAATAATCACAAGCAGTTGTATTGTGCAAGGAATGGAATGTTGTGGTCTGTATTGTTTTACTGTAATATTTGCCATTCAAAGCCGAAGCTAGCCTAAATAAGTTAATAATCCAGTCCGTACCTCAAAGAAAACAAGACTTCACCATTACAAAGATCAATTGGTTAACTCTGAGGACATTATCGTTGTTTAGACCAAGAATCACAAACATAAAATACAGTTACTGATTGTTGAAAGAGGTTTGCTTCGTTTTATATCATCGGAGTGGAGAGAAGTTGTGAATTTAACTCGAGGTTCCAGTTTGCAGGGATTTTCATTTTATGCAAGACAAATTTCTTCGGAGTGGAGTGTAGTTCCAAATCGACAGTATACCGGGCAAACCCGGAAAAGTGTTCTTGTTAGTACGTGTGCGCTCGTATTCCTTTCCTTTGGCTACTTCGACAGCTTGTAAGTTATCATCAACGGAGATAACATTGTAGATTATCACCGCAAGTGTAAGGTATATATAATGCATGAAGAAGAGTGACCTTGGGTTGAGTTCTCTAGCTGAACTTAGAGAAAAACCAACCATGTAGGCAGCTGCAGACAGTACTGTTCCCCCCCTATCACCGCTGATGATACTGTGCTGTTGCGTGCGTGGCAGTTGAAATGTTTCTGTTCGGCATTTGGGGGGGGGGATATTTGTTTGAGACGTGGCAGGCCATCCGTCGTTTTTTAGCACGATTTTTTTTACAGTTTTCTGTATCTCATCTCGTGGACGAAGAAGTCATGCGCCTAACACGTTTGTGTCAAAGAATATTTGGAGTTTTTTTTTTTGGAAGTAAGTGTGTTGTCAGAAGTTGCAGTCCGTTCTGCAGGGTCGTGAGATGCTGGAATGCTAGAATGGATTACTGTTTCAGACTCGGACGGAGTTGCGAAGACGAAGTATTAGATAGCAAAAAAAAAAAAGATTCGCTAAATGAAAGTGAAAACCTCCTTTCTCCGTATTCCTTATCCGCGGACACATAATTCTGGTACAACCGGCGCGTCGGCACGGGAATGAGGTAATTGTTATGAATCACGCACGGAATGCCCGTACATCGTAACATCTTGTGACCGGATTCTTTTGTTTAGAACAAGCATTTTTAAAAATTGCGTAGACCAGTAACTTTTAAGAACCAAAAATTGACGCTTCGTCGAATGAAGATTCCTTTAATTGCAACACCGCACAATTTTTTTTTGCTGGTTTCGCTGCTGAATTTCGACAATGATAATTTGCAGTGTTGGAATAGTCACCGCGTTACACAGAACCAGTGAAATTCATCGGAAGTTCTTTTTATCACGATGGGTTGAGGGATTCAGGGTCGGATACCTCAAAGCGTGTGTTTATGCGCACAACAATTTTGTTGGAAGAACCAAAGGGAAGATGGCCGCTTGGGGGGGGGGGGCGCACATGTAAGAGCGACATTATAAGGAAGTAGGGTGTGTTTGTGTTTTGGAAACACTCAGCAGAGGACAGGGTCCAGTGGCTAGCTATTGTGGACGTGGCAGGGAACCTTCCGTTTCCATAAAGGCCTGGTAACACCTTGACGTGCGAAGCCAATGCCAGTTTTCAAGGACTCTGGAGTTCAGAAACCAATTTCGAAGTCCTATTTTGCGTAATGGCATTGTTTGCTGGGATTGGCGATAGTCCTAGTACAGACTGGCCTATATAATTTTGCTTGGGAGACATTTTGGAATGCAGCCATTTTGGAAGATGGGATGTGTTGACCATGGTAATGAACTTTGTGGTTCCATAAAAGGCGAGGAATTGTGACCATATTAGGTACAGTAAGCCACACCCTTTTTTATACTTTTGTTGAAACTCCGTTGAAATTATCTTACTATTGCACAGGTTTGCTTTTTAAAGACGTCTGGCGAATTGTTCAATCCCCTATTGTTGTGAGCTCGTGTTTCTGAAGTTTGCAGAGCTGGTATTCATCATTCACCAGGCTGTCCATGTTATTCAGCGACTGGGTTTAATTGGTGGACACATCACATTATTGCCATCGCGTAGTAGTAATTATATTGCGTTTGTGTATAAATGTGTTTGGCGTTTCGAAGCTGCCGGTTCTGTGTTGAGACATTGTTGTGTAACTGATAAATGTCTCTTATAGAACCTTTTTTTTTTTTAGAACGTATCATAGTGCATGTTTGTTTCATGGCCGCGACGGAAGTGAGATTACGTGGTCTGTTCGATCGATAAGTGACTCACAGGGAGTTTTGAAGCTCGTTCCAGTCGAGTACCAGCGGAATGCGTGGTATATAGAAATCTGTTTGCACTGATTACATTCTTTAGATCAAGAAAACGGTTCAGTTTTGATGGCCGGCTGTAAACACGCATTTCCGTCTTTGTCGTGAACAATGATTCATAACCGCGAAGTTCCACAAAGCTTGCTTTTGCAGGAAAAGGAATTCCTGTTGTGTTTGGCGTAGGACAATAATCGCGAGTTATTTTACGAAACAGTTGCGACATGGCGCGAACAAAAACTAACACGTTAGGATAGAACTTCGTTAACTTGCATTGGAAGTATGTTTGCAATTACTATTTAATTATAATTTTAAACAGTAGCAGTGGTAATAGTATATTTACATGACCTCAATTATTTACAGTGTTGCGAAATATATTTTTTGATCTGTAAGCAATGTCATGCACGTAATTTGTAGCCTTGTTTATTATCTATCTCACATTTTACACTCCCATTTCCAGTTCTTTATTACCAATGACTATCTTACAATGAGGTAAATTTTGTTTTGATACATTTTGTTGAAGAAATGCTTAAACATGTGATGTATATATTTCTTAAAGTTATTAGTACACAATTTGGGGACCCTAGGTCGCAGCTCACGTTTACGCACGGCCGCCATGATGTCATAAATTCTGGATAAATAACCTTGATTAATTAAAAGGTACGATGTTGCCAAATTTCTAGTCGTTTGAAAATGGGGCATGCACGCATACAGGATCACAAATGGTGCAACATTTTTGTTGATTTAAAGGGCGTGATCTGAATATTGGTTTTTGAAATTTGAGCCCAGTAGTGGTGACACTCTCTCTCTCTCTCTCTCTCTCTCTCTCTCTCCCTTGTGACTTGTTCAAACATTGCATAGTGCATTCCTGATTGAATTATCATCATAGCATCCTCTTATCAAATTATCTTTTATTAGCATTTCGTGTGTGTACATAGATAAACAATAAATAAATACTCTTCACGTATTTACGCGTTTGATTTCTTAATATCAGTTTCATTTCTGCCATGGAGCTCACGCTCGTGGCCTGCGTTGTGCAGGGGACGAGGAAATTCATCGAAGTTCACGATTCGTCAGTAATATTTAGGGGTCAGATGCACAGGGTACTTTTGCCAACCATGGAATTATCAAGGTCGAGTTTCCTTTTGTATTTTTCCTAATTTTGAAGTCAAACGTCGCAACCCGTTCTCATTTTGTGTGTCTGTGAATGAATAACTTCTTTGTTTTTGTTTTTGTTCATGATGTTTGTTGCGTCTTTGTGCAGGGAACGACAGAACCAAGAAGCAAGGGAACTCGAGAAGCGGGAGAAGGAACGAGAAAGGGCAGAGCGTGAACGCCAAGAACGGGAGAAGTTAGAGAGGGAGAGACAGGACAGAGAGAAAATGGAGAGAGAGAGGCAGGAGCGAATTGAACAAGAGCGAAAGGAGAGAGAAAGGATAGAAAAGCAGCTCGCGACTGAACAAGCTGTCCACAAACATTTCGAGGAGTCTCTTCGCCTGGCACAGCGAAAGGTGAGCGCCCTGAGATTAAGGTTTTTTTTGGGGGGGGTGGGGGGTGTTTTATGTAAAATGTAGATTAATTATATTTGTCGTCCCACGAAAACGCAGTGAAGTACGAAATTAAAAAAGGACAGGAAAGATTTTTGGACAGTTTGACAGAGGGGGTTTAAAGTGACCCGCGGAATTTATAAAAAAAAAAATATTTTTTACAAGTCGCGAGGCAGCTTATCGCTAAAATGCTTAGGACAAAAGGAAGTTGGCTGGAAGCATCCGAGACCGATGTTAAGCAAGTTATTTGCGCCGTTTGCAAATGTAGACGACACCCGCAAAACAGCTGATTCGGCCATTCCGGTAATCCAACACTCCCGTGTGAAAGTCGGTCGGTCGCCTTCGCGAAACTGCTGAGCTTTGAAACAAGAAACGGGGTAATTATATGCCGCGCAATTAAGTATAAAGTTACCGAGTAGACACTCTCTTGCGGAGAAGTTTGAAACTAATTTTTAAAGCAGGAAACCTGTGTTGCAGTTTTTTTTTTAAAAAAAAAAGTATCTGTATCCTCCGAAGAATTACGCCAACAAAAACATGCCTAGATTTTCAAACAATCGACTCTAATTGACCACAACAAATTGACATTTTGACCGCCTAGAGAACCTAAAATCTAGTCGAAGTTCGTAAACAAAGATTGTTCGAGCGTTTGCCCCGTTATATTTTCTAGATGCTCAGTTGAACAGACGCTGATGATGAAATGCGATCTTTATGTTTTCATTATCTGGAATTGTGTTCGTAATATTTGCTGCTTGGATTATCAAGGCCATTGAGGTTTGTCGAGTCGGTAGTATGCAGCGGTCTCTGTGTTGAATCTGTGTAACTATTGACCTGCATGAGTGGTGCGCATGCGCGGTCATTCGTGTTGAATATGACTTTGGGACGTGCATCCGACCTTCGGAACGTGAAGTGTTTCGGTGTATTGACTAGGTAGGTGCTGTTGTGGTTGTACGAGTTTTTAATCGGTGTCTTGAGATTTGCGAAATCGCTGTTATATTAAGTAATACATATAAAAGTGGTTTGTTGAGGAAACATGTGCTATTATGTATTGAAATCAAGGTCTTCCATTGACTTGGTGAGTGGGAATTTGAAGTAACAAACTTGTTAACCAAATTAGTATATTTGTGCTTTTATGAAGTATCAGATCAGCGGTTTTCGTCCACAAATATCGCAGCGGTAGTAACTGTTCTGATGGAAGGTATTTATTGTTCGAATATGTTTATCAGTTTGATGTAAAAAAAAGTATTGCACCGCCGGGACATTTTACTCGGGCTGAGCTGAGCCGAGCGTACGTGCTAGACGTGGCTAGAGCTATGGCGGTTACTGGAGCGAACTCGGCGTGTGAACGAGAGATAAGGTGCGGTCCATCGTGAAATTGATGACACGTAGGTACTAGGTCCACGCCTAGGTTTGAGTCCAGGTGACTCAACTCTGCTTTTGACCACAAATGTAGCATATTTTTGTTATTTTTTTTTTTACAGAGCAGATAGGCGTAATTTGAGTCCAGGTGACTCGACTCTGCTTTTGACCACAAATGTAACATATTTTTGTTATTTTTTTTACAGAGCAGATAGGCGTAATCGCTTGTTAAATACTTTGAACCGAAATGCATGATTATTTTAATTTTAAAAATTTGTTTTCATGTGCTTTCGTTACTTTTGCATGGCATATATATATTTATGTTGTCTGGGCAGTTTACAAAGAGTGATGCGACTTGTAATTTAAAATTACGCACATGCTCCTTACAGGAGAAATGAAGGATTTTACAGTACTTATGATTTTTGTTTTGTACAGAGTTGTTTAATCAGAAAGCTGTGAAATTATATGTTTTTTTATAATTATGCTGATTTCAGTAGTGTGATTACATCGGTATCAATATACTTCTGAGTCCGTGGTGGAGCGCAGTAATTAATTCAATATTTTTTTTCTTTTTTGTGGTTCCAGCATGGTACAGGCAATATGTGCTGGAATCTTATCAACAGTTTGCCCCCTCCACGGGGCTCTGGTCCTGATGACGAGAGGAAACGTGGAAATGAACACGATGTTACTCATCAGCAGCAGCGATTGATGGCGGAAAGACTGCGGCAAGAGAGATATTATCTGCCCGGGGTGAGCTCAGACATTTCACTTCTTTGGTACGCCGAAAACAGCGGCAGAGCCCATTGTTTGCAATTTCTACATCGGGTAATTCCAAAACGATGTGATGGGCCACATCTGGCCTGTGGACTGACTCCTGTTTGCAGTGCACGCATTTATTATGTCATGTAAAGAAAATCCACTTTTTTTTAATAGGTCCTATAACGTCAGATCAGGTCTTTGGATCCATATTTGTATTAAAGACACCGGCACGCGACTCCATGCATTTGGTTTCAGAGTTTCGGGAATTTTTAATGACTGGGCCGGTTTTCCAAAATGGGCAGGGCGGTACACTTTCCTTTTAAAAATATTCTATATTAGGTTTGCTAAAATACAATTTTTTATTGACATGGTACATATTCTTCTGCCAATTGTGCCCCCCCCCCAATACAAAAAAAAACACTAGGACTTGCAAATTTTGAAATGTGACTTTTGTACGGGAATTGTTAGGTCAAGGCACTTGTTGTTTTGTTTTATTGTCTTCGCTCACAGCTGACTTGTAATTCTTGGCCGTGATAGCGGACATAACCATCGAGTCCTGTTTGTTAGTTTTTGAAGGGGTAATATGTACTTGTCTTACTTGTTCAGAGGCCACCCAGCGCTCCAAAGGTAGAATATCCGCCGCCTGCCCACAGTCGAATAAGCAGCGGGAAAGCGTCGGAGAAACCCGGTGGCCACGCGGTGCTACCGAAGGCAGAGCCGAACTTCAACCTCTTTGGATACCCAGCGTATCATCCAGGAGGGCTTCTTTCCCATGACGGCGTCAAAGTAAAGCAGGAACCGCTGAAGGTCTCTCCTTCATCGGGATTAACGTCTTTGGTGGCCGCGAAAAGTGCGTCGGCGTCGATGGGATTAGATAGAGAAAGAGACTCGATGTTGCCAAACCCACCTCCGCTCATGAGTGATATTAAGAACTCGGTAATAGTTAAAAATGAGGTCAAGAGCCCTCATCACCCCCACGAGTCATCAAAGGTGCCGCCGTCACATTCCCCGAGCCTGAAGCTAAGAGCCGGAGACATGGTGACGTCGCAGCAGCCTCATTACCTCCCTCAACACAAGGCAGCGTACGAGTACCGTAGTCCCAGTCAGTCCCCGCACCACCTGGCTGCCCGGCACACGCCTAGTCCTCATCACGCTCACATGGCGCTGGAAGCGCAGAATCTTGCTGGTAAGGGGATGCAAGCACATCACAGGTCCAGTCAGCAGCCTCACCCTCACGCGCTTCCTCATCGTCAGTCGCCGCACGGCATGCAACAGCAGCCTCACCCTTCACCGCCCGAGCAGAGGTATGGCGGCCCGAGCGGACCGAGTTCTCTGCCCTACGGATCTTCTAAGACTGCGACCGTGAGTTCGTATCCATACCCCTCTCCCGTGGGGCACGTTACCACGACACATTATCCACTGACAGCGAGCGGAAATGTGACGGCTGCCTCAAAGCCCAAAGTCAGCAGTCCTGCCCCACCTCACATCTACGGTAAGCCCGGAATCACGACCGGTACTCCGGTGTGCCGCGCTCAAGACACAAACGTCAACTCTGGTCCTTTGCCTTTAACATCCAAGGCTCCTCTCACGTCGTCCGTTTCTCCTTCACCTTACCAGCAGATGTCACGACAGCACCACCCTCCCCCCCACCAAGCATCTGTGGGTCCCCCTCCACCCCCC